ATGTGTTACCCAAAAACCAGATGTAATAAATGTTGAGACGTACTTATTCTACAAAAAATGTGATTTACTCATGTTTCAGTGACTTTACAACCCACTTTTACGAGGGCGAACTCATTAGTGGCAATATTGACGTCTTACTCTTTACGTGCTTAATGTAGTGGAAATGCGTTATTGCGAAAAAAGCAGATGACATTCCTTCCGGAGGGACTTACTCACCTAATGCCTCCAGAGATTTATTCTAACATTTGGTGCAATTCGGCTAGGGGGGGGGGACATTTTGCACATCCGCTGCTTCTCATTGTTGTGTTCATTGCTTTACAAGAGTTGACAGGTTTTCTTCACAAAATTTGGCAAGTGGTCGCTACAAACTTCAACTGCTATCACTCCATGGCTCCACAAGATTTCGGAAATCTCTACTGGAAACAGTGGGAAGCAACGAAAAGGCGACGAGATCCCCTCATCCAGGGGAAACTGCGGGGCCAAAACACTTCCCGCCCGCCAGCCACTCGAAATAACCAAAGATCTGAAATTCTCTAACAAAGTTCCTCCTAATAACGTCTTAATGAAATAACTAGAAGTTTCCGAGGCAGAAGAAGATTGCCGGAGTTATAAGAAATGGGCTTTAGTGCATAAGGGAGAAATCGAATTTTCGAGCTGTTCGGCAAAATGTAAACAGACCTCTGCCCGCCTTTCAAAGTGAAAACGATCGCCGGAAATCCCGGCGGCGCAGCCCGCTAAGCGAGAGATAAGAGAGAATAATTGAGCTTTATTATCAACGGCAAAATGTAAGTATTTGTCCAGACAGGAGGTATGGGACCATGTAATACAACCTCTCAGTGTAAGCGATTGCCGGAAGTCCGGGCGTAAACCGCAAGGCTCTAGAAATAGAAGGAGAAAAGGAATTAAATTCACTTTTGTAAAGCTACGGTAACTACGAGAATGTGTGGAGCGATTTACTTGACCACTCAGCTTCTTATTTGCTTTCTTTTAGTTACTTTCCAGAATGGAATTACAGGCTTGTTTGTCGTCATATCTTGTAGTGGGCATAAGACATAATTGCAACTGTCTCACAGCTCCTTCAACCTAAGGATTAATGTGGAAGTAAAGGCAGCCACGCCCTCTCCATTTTCGTGATATGGGGTGTAGTTCCACCGCATTCTGAGCGCTCACGGCCCGAAATTAGAAGGAGGCTACGCGGACGCAATGTAAATATATTCATGATGTGTTTCGTGGTGGGAATCGAACTATTCCTGCTCCTCATCTAAGTTTTGTTTCGCCTTCATAGCTTCTATAAGCAATGGGGCTTTGGTGGGGCATTTCACTGGTTCTCATCGACTTCTTTCAACATCTCTTGGGTGGACCTGTGAACTTTTGTGAAGCTATGCAATAGCACGAGCTTAGTCTTCACAAGAGTCAACATGTCTCACCAATAGTTTGAAACGTAAAACTAGTACGTTAATAGAAACTAGTCAAAGCGACTAGCGAAAGCACAAAATGCCCCCACCCCTGAGCCGAACAGCGCTCTTGTTACAGCTCACCGATGAAAGTTCATTTGGAAAATTCTTCAGGTTTTTCTGAAAGAGCATTTCTCGTATTTTTGGGCTCCATCTCATTTTCAATTCCTTCCTGTTGTTGATTAGAAATGGAATTTAAATGACTGCGTAATTCGAGTAGTTGCTATTTTTGAAGCAACCACGGGAGTTTTGATGAAAACTGTTGATGAAAGTTCCTGTAATTAAAAACTATGATTAAAAACCAGACTCTCCAATATTTAGTGGGAAACAGTGGGGGTTGTTCGGCTTAGTGGGGACCGAGCCTTCGCTAGTTTGACTCAACATGGAAACCTGTGAACTCTTAGGAATCTACCAAAGGTACTGTGAAATCTGTAACATACTCGACGAAGCTTGTTCAAGTATTATGAGTATATGTAAATCATCGTCGCATCGTTCATTCGTGAACAGCTTATACAGTCATACATGCATCAAGCCTATACTATATATTATCTCTCTATATACAGGGGGGGGGCAAAAAAAAAAGACTTTTTTCTTCCTCGACTTTCGAGGCGCTATAAGTTACACTTTATTAAATTTTTATCGGACATTTCTACCACCATATTGAAGAGCATATTAAATACTATCATGATACTCCGCCACAGCCTTCTGGAGGAGCGCCATCGAGAGATTCTGCCACGCGACCGTCAGTGGGTGCGTGAGTTCAGCGAGATCGTTGATTTCTCCGCCACTGTAGACCACCCTGTTGAGCTCCGCCCGAAACCGGGTAATTGAGGGGGTTTAGGTCAGGTGACCTGCTTAGATATTCCACCTTCTTCAGGTACTCAACGCCCTTCCATTCCAAGTAGGCAAGAGTTTTCCCAACGCCCTTTGATTCCATGTGGTGTCACCCAATCCTGTAGCAGTACAAAGTTTCCAAGAAGGTACGGGCGACGACATGTGGAGAGGATATTCTTCTCGAGTTGCTCGATGTAACCGCCAAGCGCTCACCTTTAGTCCGGGGCCCACGAAGAAAATATCGGTCTCTCCATTCCAGGTACGTCCGGTCCCCACCATCAACTGGCGCCTTGGCGACTGAGGTGAAGATGATGTCCTAGACCGTAGCGACGTTGACGGAGCTGCTCGATGTTGGAGGTCTTGCCAGATCGAGAGTGCTGGTCTCCAGGTCCATGTCCATCCATGGTAGCGCACTCAGAAGTTTCGCGGCCTAAATGGAAGGTGCGTAATATCCAAGGTCTCCTCCAGTCAGGCTGCGACTGGAGATGACTTCATATTTTGGTGTACATGAAGGTGATGGGCGAGAGCCAGCTCCTGCTTGTAGAGGAACATCTTGGGTATCTTCTGCTCTTGGTAATTCTTGAACGGCAGGTCCCTCTGTTGGGCTCGAAAACTTTGCTGATATCTGACTTGGTCGAAATGTCTTTTTTTTTTTGCCCCTTCCCCTGTATAAACCAGAAGTTGTATGTGTGTCTGTCGCTAAAAATTGGTGACTACTCAGGAAATCACTATTAGAGAATGGATTATGATCGGGATGGATGTGGCATGGGCCAGCATTTTCAGGGCACGCCAGTAAGCCTAAGCTCCGGCCAGTAATGGGCTGGGGTGCGCCCATAGCGTACTAGGTGCCTAGGGGGAAAATTCTCATAACGCATCCACAGCAATCCGGGGAATGGGAATTATGGGTGAGGGGCGATAACAGGTAGCCAGAGGGAATGAAGGGGAGCCACCCGTGATGAGTGAAATGCTGCAGGGATCATAATTCGCTTCCGGGACACATCAGAGTCGTATATTACCTGTGAACGGAATTTGTACCTGGGCGGATGGAGTCGAAAATCAAAAATGTTTTAATTCCAGAAATTTGCTTATTTATTTATTTGTTAGTTTATGTGTTATTTATTGTACAACAATTTGAGACAGATGTATATTTCTACATCAGTTCATCCACTGAGGCATATAGTACCCACTTCCCACCCCTCCACTACACGGAAATTCCACTACTGCCTACTAGGAGGTTGGAAATAAAAATGTCGGGGGAGGGGGGGGGGGGGGGCGGGGGTGGGGGGGGGGGGGGGAGGGGAGGGGTGAATACTGATTCATACAGCAGAAAGGAGGGATAGCCTCAGCGGAAGCCGGGGTGATGCGCACCTGCGCTATATTAGCGTGAGTAAGTTATAGTTGCACTCATTATACAGTAACCTACTGTACAACAAGTCACTGACATAGTAAAAATGAGTAGTTATAAGCCCACAGTAGCCCAGAGGTCTCTCACCAAGGTGAAAACGGATGAAATTAGCGATTTTAAAAATGCTTCCCTCCCCTCGCTCAAGCGGAAGAGTGCCTGAAAAGATTATTGAAAGGGAAATGTGGCAATCCGTCCAACAGTGAATGGCTAGCTCCTTGAGATCGGAACCGTGAGGTCCCAATAGGCGTTCCGGCACTATTCGGCTTGCGGGGCGCGGGGGGGGGTGGGCTATTTCGCTAAATTTGCTAGTTTCGCTTTTGTTAAGTTTTTCTGTCAACTTAACAGGTTTACCCCTCATTGGTGAGACTGTCAGACTTTTGTGAACATTGTGAATGGTAGCAAATAAGTACTTTGGCTGGCAGGTCCAACAAGGGCGGCTGACCAGTCTTCGCAGAGTACCATTTGGTGCTTCCGCACCGAGCCGCGAGCTTGCGGCCGCTGCTCCTCCCAAAATCCAACAGGTACCATAAAACTAGCAGTAAGAACAGTACGTGTGTAAGAACAGGTTGGTTGGAGGTGCCACTTGACATGCTGTGGCCTCTAAAGAAACATACTATGGCCCTATAATGTGTTAATGGGTGGAGGACATATTGCTTCTACGTTCTGTCATCAATAGTGCCCTAGTGTGTTATGGGGTCGAGGACATTTTGTTCACCTCTGTCATCATAGCGGGTTATTTTGTAAAGTGCTGTGAATTCTTGTAGAGCCAAGAAATAGTGAAAAAGAAAAAGAAAGTGAAAAAAGGTAGAAAACAATCCAATCCCTGGGATGTTCCGTATTCTACACGTAGGCAAAGTAACACATGA